TGAACAAGACGGTAGGTGAGGGACCCGTGCCTCCTCTTTCTCCAATCGGCCAGTACAGGGAGTAGCGCCTGGATGGTGCGCTCCCCGTATCTGGCCGATCGGAGTGCCTCCTCCCACCCCTGGACGGCGGTCTTGGCGGCACGCCGAACCCCCACTAGCTCCTCTAGTGTGGGGCGCTCTCCACGTGCCCTGGCTTCCGCACGGCACCTGTAGGTCTGCTCGAGGACGGACGCCTCGAGCTCCCAGGGTGCGAATCCAGCCAGGGCGCATGCCGTCGCTCCGGAAACCGTCCGGTACGCCCGAATCGCCCTCACCGCCATTAGCTTCTGCGGTCTGCGCAGAAGCGGCCGCAGTCTGGTGGTGAGGGCCTCCGCCCAGATGGGCGCCCCGTAGAGGGCCATGCTCCGTATGACGCCAGCATAAAGCCGACGACATAGGGAGCTGGGTCCCCCCACGTTTGGCATAAGGCGCCCAAGCGCCGCCGCGGCGGACACGAGTCGCGGCGACAGCCGGTGGAAGTGCTCTTTGAAGTTCCACCGGCTGTCCAGGGTGAGCCCAAGATACTTTATATGAGGGCTCACCCCGACCCTCCTTCCTCCCACCTCCACCCAAGGCGACCGTGAGCCCCAGCTCCCCAATGCGGCTGACCACTATGGCGCTTCCCTCCGTGGCCAGTCGCGACGCTTCCCCCCAATCCCGCCCCCGGGCGTAGACTAGAGTGTCATCTGCGTAGCAGATTTCCATGAAATATTCATTGTTGTGATGAAAGTGTGATAACAACGGCGTACTTGGCACTACGCAAAATTATTCTAGAGCATAGTCCCCCACATAAATTAAAGCAGTGACGCTCTGAACAATTGGTGCGCTATGGAAGCGTCATCGGCGGCGGCGGGTCGCACCGTGAAGAATCGCTCAAAGAGTTCCGCGGGTCGGAGACCTGCTCTATAATAAGGGTGATATATGGGCTGAGTTGACAAAAACTGGCGAGCACAGGCGGTGCATCTCGATAAACACTTTACTCGAGGCGCAGCGAAATGCTGCGTTGCTGTAATATTTAACTTTAAGAAGTTTCATCTACATCGATCTCTCTCGTTCTATTCGACTTTTTCGGAAATTGGTATGCGATAATGAGGAAAGTAAGTGATTAATTTTGCGAGTGAATTCCATTTGATTGCGTATCTATAACTGCCTCTTCGTTTGTTTGCGTTGTTGTCGAAAAGCACGTTGCGCGCGACGTGGAGCACCCTCGAGTGCGCGTCGCCGCCTTTTAATTACACATGTACCGAGTTCGAACGTCGAACGCCGCGGCGGCGGGGGTTCAGGGCGAGGCGAACGCCGTCGTCGTCGAGAGCGTCTCAATTGTCTCTACTTGCTTGCCTACAGTGCATTGTCTCTTTACCTATTATCATCCAAAGAGAGCATAACAATTAATAAAACGAGTATATTGTACCATTTCAGTCAGTGGCTTCCAGGAATCCTACTCCATACCTAGCGTAAAAATATAATGGTCATTATTTCCGATTTTGTAGGTCCTTTGAGGATATCGATGTTAAATGAAGTCAAGACCTTCTTAATAAATGTGCGAAATAGTCTAATTTAATGGAACATCAATGAGACGTGTCGCCCGCGCGTTCCTCAGCCCGGGTAATGCCTATTGGTTTCACCTCGCTGGACTTTGTCGTCTTTGTACGGGCACGGACAAGGGAAAATTTAAAATATTTTTTTGATATGTTTGTTCATTTTCCTTTTTAATAATATTATTCCTACCGTTCATATAACTGACGCTAGCGGAAACTGTACACCTCTTCAACGTGAATTGTATTGTAGCCCGCACATGCTTAGAATTAAGAAAATAATGGCTTTGTTTTATAATTCCGCTTTTCTAATAATGCGGTGGGATCGATCGCGAACCGATGCCCCGTCGTGCGGCGGCGTCGTCTCGCGGCGGCCGCGACAAAGCCGTGTTTGTTTACACTGCACCTTGTTTATTGACAAATCGCTCATTAAATCGACACGCGCCTTACGCAACGGCCGATTGATTGACGCTCCATTAAACTCGCCCCTTTTGCCCTTTGCGACACAAAGGCTCAAAGGGACAAGCTTGGGGGCTACTGTGTGCAATATAATACACAGCAATATTGAAAGGGCAGAATTTTATTTCGTGTCGAGTATAAAATAATGAGTAATATCTAGTACCTAGATAAACCTACTACATAAAACTACCCTATGATTAAGATTTTAATTCAAGTCAATGTCACTTGCGACAGGAGCGAGCCCAAGTGTAAAAAACGGGGCGCTGTTGACCGTCCTTTACGGTTCGGTACTTTGCTACACCTACATCTGCAATAAAACGTTTTCTGTGTTTTAGTAGTGAGGCTTAAGGTCGACCCTGTAAAAACAACAGCCAATAGCGTAACTACACGGTAAAAACAGATTACTTAGAAAAAGACAAAATTCTTTTTATGAAGACAAATTTATTAAATCAAACAAAACGATCCTCTCCCTCCCGCTAGAGAATAATTACTTGATAATAGTAAAAAAACGTTTCAAAAGTGTATTTTAGTTATAAGACAGAAATATTTAATCCAAGAGCAAATTATTTTTTTTATTTATTTATTTTAATTAATTTACTTCAAGTCACAAAGCCACTCTAGATTCAACAAAATATTTATTAGTTATTAATAAATATTTATATAATAATAATAAAAATATTTATAAAATAATATGCCGTATAAGTACTTCATAGAGGTGGGTGATAAATAACGTCACGATGAAAAAATCACGATGATCCGCCGTCAGACAGTATCACCGTGACTCGTTCCGAAGGAACGACGTTCCAAAGTCACATAGGTGTTCCTCCGTTCCAACAGCTATCCCCGTCACTCACATCACGACGTAGGTATTTGATACAATGCGCGATCTCCGTTCCGTGGTGACTGAGCGCGCCACTCGTTGTAGTTCTCTTCAAATCGGGGGTCATTTCGGCCATGCGAGAGAATGAAATAGGATCACTTTCTTTGCTCACTCACAAGAGTCGTACGTGCTTATTACTACTAGAAAGGGCGGATGAAAAAAATCTGCACCAGTTATTATAAACCTATTTATGAACAAAGTAAAATATTTTTGTATATTTGTTTTATTATAGGAAGAGTTGGTATTATATATTTATATATAATCTACTTTGTGTATTCTACTAGAAATATAATTACATTACATTTTATTGCTATTTTGAACAATCCAAAGATTCGCATTAAATAAGTAAAAACAAAATTACATTAAATACAAAATCAACTTTTTGAATGGAATTGAAACTTATAACAAAGGGAGTAAAAACTTAAATCATTCTATAAAAAACGGCTATAAGTATTAGAAAGAAGCCGCTGGCTAAAACCGCATGTCGTGATGTAAGTTATAGGCGTGACAAGGTCACGGAAGTAACAGTCGTGACAAAATCACGATGATTTATCACTGTGATTTCTTTGGAACCGGAACGACAATCACAGCGATAGAAATGTAACGCTATTCCCCATGTCTAGTACTACAGCGACAGACAGTACTAATTATGTAAAATATATGAGATGACTTATACTATTGAAGTTAAGAAAACGATAGCGCGTTTCAGAATACAACTAATGCCATCTAGCAGTGGCGCGATGGAACTAATTGCAAGTTAAAGTTGTGCTTGTTACAAGTGTAGTTTGATTTCATGCTGAAACCAAATTTCTTAAATTATGACTACAAATAACACGCTAACAAACTAGAAATACTACGTATTGTTTCTTTGGATAAATGACTGTTTATGATTTTTGTGATTACAAGCACAAGTAAAAGTAATCGTTACCGCGTGCGCTTTCGGCGACATGTCACGACACCATTAACTATGAAAACGCAACGAAATTTTGCTTTAAAATTATACTCTAGATTTTAGAATATTAATCTGAATAGCAAACTACTTTTTTTTGTTAAAAACTATATTTTCTTAAAATACACCCAAGAAATTTTGAATTCATTTAAGATTATTTAATTTGGTGTAAGAGGCAAAACTGTCTTGATGTGAGTAATGTCCAATTAATTGATTAGAAATGAAATAAAATCTTGAACAGTACGTATTTGTCTAAAAGCTAGAACAAAGTTAAGAGTAAAATTGTATTAGAAAAAGATAAGCATTATTTTTGTAATGAATATTTTATTACTTTTAATAAATATTTTTTCAGAATTAGCAAATATTTTGAGAAACTACTCTTTCTTATTAGTAGAAATCCTTTTTTACTGTGTAGCTGTAGTAAAACAATTTAATGTTTTCCATAATGAGTTCAGATAGTTTAGAAATATGGTAGAGCCTCACCTTTAAATCACTTCAATGATTTTCACAAGTAACAAAGGATATAAGTATTATGATCTATGACATTCTGAACTTTTTTGTTTTAATTTATTGTTATATCCTTAAGCTCCGTTTTAAGGTCTTTCAGTACACAATTCTCTAGGTGAGAGGAATCTTAAGTGGCAAATAGTAATTTTTACTGCATTTAAAATCAATGTTAAGGTCAAAATAAAATATTTATGTTATAAAGAAAAAACAAAAACGTTACGCCTTCATGTCTTTTACAATTGCGTGATGTTTAGCATTGTAAACCATCTGAATTCCAAAACAAGGGCCCTTTACTTTTCACCTAAACAGAAGTAAAATGTGCATACATTTTGTCTGCGTCTGTAGGTACCGAGAAGCATCAATTGTACCATATGAAATCATTACTATGGTAGGTTTGCTACAACAAGCCCGGCAACTTTCGCTATCCCTAATCCACTTTTGTCACTTATTAATACCGAGTGCACAACTAATGAACGCTATTTTTATGGATTACCTACTGAACAGCACTGTTCAGTAGGTAATCCGTAAAAATAGCGTCTCTTTGTTTGCTTCACAAAGCAAACAAAGAGACGTTAATTAAATTAGTGTTGGGTGTCGACTCTGGGGAGGAGAAAACAAACAAGCGAGACAATTACGCGACACAGGTGCCAAGTGCGGCATCGACTTGCAAAGCAGCCAGTGTTGAGATAACGAGCGCTCCCGCGCGCGACCCGCGTGAGACGCGGCACGGGCCCACCACTCGGCGAGCTTTGAGACTCGGCGCGGAGGGCTCTTCACCGGATTTATTAAGTTTACTCTGCACCGAGTGCTGCACCTCCGGCCCTCCGGCCCTCAGACTCTCGGCTCCTACACCGGAAGCTTTTATTTTTATTTGCACGGATAAAGGCCTCCTTTGCATAGTCAAATAACCAGCATTATTCGAGTGTAGGTAGAAACATTTACATTTCGACTTTGTTTGCGAGTAAACAGACGAAATAAAAGTAGAAGGGTAGGTACCTTTGTAAGTAGCGGGTACTCCATAGGTACATTCTTAAAATATTTTTACTTTAAGCGATCCGCTTTATTTTCATTAGATTATACTTTATTTTCATCAGCTGTGGTTCGTGCCTAGATCGGTGGCGTGTGGCCACGACGCAACGGCGGAACACCCAAGTCGCGGTCGTGAGTTGACGCGTGTGAACCGCGCCTTATCGCGCATCGCTCCCACCCGTTTCAGGCTTAGCGCAGACGCCGCTGCAGCAACGAGATTTAGAAGCAGTGCTGCTGCTACTGCACCTAGTCGAGCTAATAGCGTACGCACTATCGAACTGTGGGTCCGTCACCAAGTAGGTACCTACACATACTCGTAGGTATAGTAAATTTCGAGTGCGTAGAAGCAACTGAAGTATTCCCAGTTCCGTCGACGGTTATTATGACGTAGCACAGTGTGCGTCCTTAAAAATCGTAAGGCGGTTTTGTAATTAACCAGTAGGGTTAATTACAAACCCGAACCAGTGATCCACCGAACCCGAGCCAGTGATCTCTTTTTCAGTAATTTGTCCTAAATAAACTGGAAAGTGTCCTATGTTTTAGTGAAATAGGAATCTCGGTTCAGTCTGGAAAGCAAAGCGCATTCTAAAAACAAACACTGGAAGATGGTAGCTCGGAGTGCGCGCCGCCCCCGCGCCGCCAGCCAATGGCGAGCGCGCGCCGCCCAACGCCCGCGCCCCGCGCCCCGCGCCCGCGCCCCGCGCACCGCACGCTAAAAAACGCCGCGAACTAACAATGGCACTCGTTGCATGACCAGTCATTGTCGCATTGACTAGTACACTCGGACCCTCAGGGCGGTTTTGCTACTACCGTAGTGCGGGTCACTCTGTGTCGGACAGTTGCCCGGTCTGCGATATGTGAGCTGGTGGTTTGTCGCCGCAGCAACAGATGGCAGGCAGTTCTTACTAAATTCTCGTTGAAGATTATATTATAGATAGAACCAGGTAAATTTTATTTAAAATTACAAAATTTACAAAGATAGCAATAGTGTATGTAAATCATGGACACATTCTTACGTAGCAATATATATCTAACATTAAGGAGATAACCTACATTTCTCTTCGTACACCATCGAAGTTGTTGACATAGGACTATGACGTCTACTACGAAGCCAATGAGTGACAAACACGGATTGCACTCTGGGACATTCGTCTGCCGTCGCGTCGCTGTACCTACTTACTTGCATGCGCCACACCAACAGCCTTTACGGTCCTCGTAAGCTGCACGTTGCGCGCCTGTGCGACGAGCGACGGCAACAATGCTTCTGTTGGTGATCGCCGAGCACTACAGGGACAACCATGATTTGCGCCGTACCATAGACGAGTGGGCTAAACAACACGAAGAGTGCGCACGCTTGCACGTTACTGAAACTTAGGTATTGTGCCAACTGTTATTCGCGTCCCTCTGCACTACAATCCAAAGCCGATCGTAAGCCATCTTGAACTTCTGCTTAAGGTCAATGTTCCCTCGCGACGTCAACTCCGAGCAAATTAAACAGTATCAGAATTGCAAAACTCTGCAAGTGACGGTCATGCACGGCCCAATGATCGCCATATCTAAGTACCTACCTATATACCTAGTCGACTTAACTTTGCAATGTTGCGAATAGAAAACAGAAATAATCGAACTTCTTACGTGCACTCTGAAAAAAAGGACTTTTATCAATTTCAAAAATTATAATTGTTTTTATTATTTGAATCTCTGAAATATGCATGTCTTTCTTAGAATATGCTGAAACACGTCCTCATACAGACGAAATTGTAAAGCAACATTTAAAAAAAATACAAATTATTTATTAGTCTCGTAATTTGTTTCTGCATTCCAATTATAACTGTACACAGCATTCAGAAAACTATAGATTATACGATCTTATGAACAAAAAAAAAGCAATAACAATAATACACAAGAATTTAATATGGAAGGTCTTAAAATAGGTCAAATGAGACGTTTAATAACGGACTTTTATTGCGGGGAGGCTATCACGGAATATATCATGGTTAACAAATATCATTATATGATCTACACATTCGGTAAATTGGACTATTTACAGAAACATTATTACTTACGAAAGCTTGATTGAATTGAGGTCGGCGAACTGAACGAGTTGGCACCCTTACGCAGATTTTATCCAGTAATATGTCACCAAATCCACCATTAACTATTTTGTGCAATATACATAAGTCACTGGTAACTCGATAGCGGGCAAGGGTTTCTACCTTAAACTTATTGAGTCCGCTTTCATAACCCCACAATTGACATCTCAACCCAAGTCTACTGCAAAGCATTCTTAGAAATCGACGTTGAACAGATTCTGTCTGATCGACTTGTGTTTTGTATATGGGAAACCAGACCGATGAGCGGTGTTGAAGGGTGCTTCGAACCTGTGAGTTACATAATGTGATCCACGATTGCTCATGCTTTCACCTTATGACAGACATAAAGGTTTTAATTTTCTTGAGGTACCTAATTTTGCATAAACCATTGCCATTTAATTACTAGATGCAAGTTTAATAATTGAAATAAATAATAAACTTGTCGTATTACTTAATTACAAATATTTAGATAAATAATAGTTCTCTGAACTTCGCTAAATAAACCAGCAATAATAAAAGATAATCAAAAATCTTTAATGCTCACTATCTAGATATTCTCATCCTGTGGGTTAACACAAATATGCATGGCACCATCTAAATAATATATTACCGACAGACGGCAACTAAAAATAAGTATTGCTTCACTTTCAAACTACATAAGCATTCAATCGTTCAATCATTGTGGTAAACAAATAAATGTATTTTCTTTCTTCTTTCTTTCTTTTCTTTCAATCGCATAAAAGAGATAGAGCAAGCATATTGACTGCATACTACAGTACTAAAGTTCGTAAAATTGTACTGCAAACACTGTTTGCTATACTCGATTACACTTGTTTTTAATAAATAAGACTGTGTTTGAATTAGTGGTTTTATGACAATCTTGGTAAGTTATAATTTTAAGCATAAAATGCGTAAAATAATTCAATTCAAAGTAAATACGAGACCGCAAGAGTCTCGCAGACACAGTCTTGTTCTTGCCCTCGTCTTGCAGGGTCGGTCTTAAATGTATTTTTAAAAGACCAAGACCAGGACTGCAAGACCAAGACTGATTCAGGGCAATTTTAAATGATATATAACAGCCTTACTTATAAACACTATTTAACTTTAAATAACGCTTTAAACAATGTTTTTAAAAAATTCGTACCTATTAACATTGGTTAGTACTAAACGATTCATTAATTTGTTGTTTAAATAGCTGTCAACTTAAATGTCTTAGGGACCTTGTTTAACTCGCTAACTAACAAGATGGCTGATATTAATCAGCTGTTAGCGGGTTAGAAAATGTCAATGACTTTAGCAGATTTGTTTTGATTTTTATTGTGAAAAAGGATTCGTCCCACTTACAAATTTACAATACTTATTTTGCGAAACAAACTTTGTCCTCAAATCAATTTTTAGATTTTGGCTCCAAATGTCAAATGACAGCCATCTGACAGCGTTTTTTTTTTGGCTTTCTGTGGTTATTAATCTCCTAATGTTGCCACGGAAATGATTTTTTCTGCATTGAACATTACTTAACTAAGCAGTGCTTATCTTTTTTTATAGGTAATAGAAAGTTAAATAGTGTTTAAAATCTTAAATAATGCTTAACTAAATATTGTATAAAGGGTTCTTTAGTGGTTTTTTTATAAGTAATGCTGTTAATATTAGGGGTTAAAGTATGAAATTGCCGTTTTATTGCAATAGGTTCTTTGAATTTTCATAGAATCTTCATGGTTTGAGGTTTTCGAATGAAACTTTTTTCAAATGGTTTCTGTGTTTTATTTTTTTTTTTAAATTTGAAACATTTGAATAACGACTTTCAATTGTTTTTGTTATTCAATTTAGACAAGAAAGATGGATACTGCGAAAATTCGAGTGATTTTTTGAATACGAGTTCCGACGCGGAACTAACGCGGCAGAAACAGCCCGCAATATCAATGCTGCGTTTGGAGAGGGGTCTACTAATGAACGCACCGTGCGATTTTGGTTTAAACGCTTTCGTGATGGAAATTTCGACTTAAAGAACGAGCCACGAGGAAGACCGCCCACACAGGTGAATAACGATGAATTAAGAGAGATAGTGGAAGCCGATCCTAGTCAAACTACCCAGGAATTAGCGGCATGGTTTAACGTTACCTTACCCACAATATTGACTCACTTGCGTCAAATCAATAAAATAAAAAAATACGAAAAATGGGTGCCTCATGATTTGACTGATCTGCAGAAAGAAACGCGTGTTGAAACTTGTGTTGCCTTGTTGAACCGGTACAGAAATGAAGGAATATTGGATCGAATTGTAACATGTGATGAAAAGTGGATTCTTTATGATAACCGGAAAAGAAAAATGCAATAGCTGACCCCAGGTCAAATGCCACAACAGTGTCCTAAAGCAAAACTTACCAATAAAAAGGTAATGGTAACTGTTTGGTGGTCTCAGCATGGTGTTATTCACTATAGTTTTCTCCGATCTGGTCAAGCAATAACGGCAGATGTCTATTGTGCCGAACTCCGAACCATGTTGACAAAACTAGCAGTAAAACAGCCCCGACTCATGAATCGATCTTCACCATTATTGCTCCACGACAACGCGAGACCTCACACAGCACGAGAAACCATTTTGACCCTTCAGGAACTGCAGTTAGAAACCATTCGTCATCCTCCGTATTCACCAGACCTTGTTCCAACGGACTACCATTTTTTTCGTGATTTGGACAATTATCTACGTGACAAGAAGTTTTCTTCCCAGGAGGCAGTACAAAATGCTTTCACACAGTTTGTGCAGTCTAGATCGTCGGAGTTCTATCGCAAAGGCATTAATAACCTTCCCATTAGATGGCAGCAATGTATAGATAATAATGGTAACGATTTTGATTAAATAAATTTGTTAAAAATTTAAAAAAATAAACAATTTAGATTTTCAGTACAAATCGGCAATTTCATACTTTAACCCCTATTATTTAACATTGCTCTATGTTGTTTAGTAGTTATGTCTGCAGATTTGATTTCGGTACATAGCTTTGAGAGAATTAAACGATTATAACATATTAGAAGTAGATTTATAATGAATCGCGCAACTCGAAGCCATATTTTAAAATTGTGATCAGGTTGCCGATTTAGTTGACCAACAGCAGGAGATAGATAGATAGATAGATAGATATACACTTTATGGTTCACACACAAGAACAAAAACAGTACATAGACAGCCTAGAACTATTGTGGACAAAGGCGGTCTTATCGCTAAGAGCGATCTCTTCCAGACAACTTTTGGGATATAGGTAAGCTAATCAGAGCTGGATACGTAGTGTGCCAATAGCAAAATTTGATTTGTCGTTATTTCTAATAACCCCCTCTCTCCAGTTACCTATTACTTTTTCCCAAACATGGTCGGAAAAATTTGCATTACTTTCAAAAAACAAACACGGAAAGTTTGTCATTTATGGACCGTGCGACTTTAAAATCCGTTACGTTCTAAACTTTTAAATCTATCTCCATGAGAGCGTTTGCGTACTACGTCCGATTCGAGAAATGACGGCCCCAAATGTCACAGGGATCATTTTGTCTCTCCTGCACAAGCGACATCCGAAGTGGGTCCGAGTTTTTGAATCGAATTTAAAACGTGACGTAAATATTTTAAAACAGTCGTAAAACCCTAAAACATGCTCCCCTGAAACTGTAATTTTTCGAAATGGCGCTTTCGCCCTTTCTACAATAGACCGACCGATATCACCACGTACCTAGTATTACACCGTAATTTAACCATTAAAACGCATAAACAAGGTACACCTAGCCAGAGAAGTAAAAAAATTTTAAATTTCTCATATTTATAAATCGAAACATTTTATTGGCAATTTTTAAGACCTATTTAATTTTTTTGTAAAACCTAAAGCAAATAGGTCCCTGAATTTGGTGAGCTCAAGCATAGAACTGTTTTTTCACTCAGGTATTTAATTCTCATTGACCATTCTGGAGAGCACCTTATACCTACTACAAAAATAAGTACGTGTAATTTGTAGTTAGAGCCAGGCAGGATACACGTTCAAGCAGAGTGCCACAGACAGCGGCGCGGGCGCAGCAGGGGAGGGCGGCGTGGGGACAAGAGGTAAAACGCGGCGAGTGACATAAATATCGTATAGACGAGCACAGAATCGCTAATGAGGACGTGCGCTTATTGCCGCCGAGCCAACGCGCGTTGGCTGAACCGCTGTGTGCCGCAGAACCGTCACGGCACCGGCTCTGCAGAAAGTCTCGCTCTT